TAGATCAAGCTATACAGCCATTTGCCTGAACTATTACAACAGTCATCTTTTAGGCCATCTTCACAGAAATAAACAATTTCTCTTTACAAGATCGGTTTCTCTTAATTCTTCCTTTTTTCTCTCTCTTGTAAGCCTTACTCTCTCTCTTTCATTTGGGACCATCATTTCTCTAAACTAATTAAACAGAAGCATTTCTGAAGCACAATTGCCTCTGTTACTTTATTACAAAACTTTATGTAATACAACTGGCCTAATTTTTTTCAATTTTAGCAACATGAAAAAAAAACAGAAGTTTAAATATTATATTGGGCTCTCAATATAGCAGAGTTTTCTCCTCTGGCTGCTACAAATGTTGAGGCAATTAGCTGCAGAAGAAAGAGAATCAGAAACGAAAGTCTTTTCTCAAGGATGCTTCATACATTATTACATTAGAATTAATTCTCGAGAACAAAATGCATGCCTCTGGCACCCATGTTCAGAAATCCCAGGACTTTCCTGCAAAAACACAAGTGAATGCAAGATTGATTCATTCATGGTTACCACTTTCTGCTATACCTCATGTTCCAGCAGAACAGTCCCTAAACCTATGTTTGGGACACCCTCAGCACAGTCCTGTCCACTTACCTGCACTCTTCCCCTGCATAAGATAATAGATTCAGCAAGGTTTCGATTTGCAGCGAGGAGCTTGCAGCCTCTACAGGAATGGGCTTAACTCTGCAGTTAAGATGGTCCATCCAGCCTTGATGCTGACAGACCCAAATTATTTCCTAATGGCTTTTGGAGAGCTTCCATCAGACGATCCTTCCAAAACTCTCGTTGACCTTTGCAAGTGGAAAATTACCAATACGATGGACAGTTGATCCTACATGTGCCTTCCCATGAAGTGGAGGAAAACTACCCTCCTTGTTTACGAAGGACCTGGAGGTGATCAAACAAGTGGGATGGAGATCAATGCAACAATAACAAAATAAACCTCAGAGCAGTTCTGACTGAGTATAGACTGAGCCTGTTAGAAAGCGGGGGGGGATGCCACAGTGGGCAAACAAATCATTCATCTCTATGTCCACTGCAGGTGTAGAGAGACACCCAGCAGGCATACATCAAGGGCTTATTATGCTCTGGCTCAAAAGAAGAGAATGCAGACCCCTCAATGCCTGCACAACACTGCACTGACAAAATTCCTCAGATCCACCCTGTTTTGAATGCAGCTGATGCTGACACAGATGCTATGCATGTAACTTTGGCCCTGGAGTGATAACAGGTATTTTTCAACTTATGCGGCTTGAGGGTGTTGACAAGATCCTTGGGGAAGTGAGAGCCACCATGGATCTAAAGAGAAGGAAAACTGAATGGGTAAAGGGGCGGGGTGAATGCCTCTTTACAGAAGGAAGGGTTCCAACCTGCCTAGAACAGCTGGTAGTAAGACTTTTACTCAAACAGGCTTCCCACAGTTCCACTGAACCAACCTACATCCCATATTCTGTTCTTTGAGAAGCTACGGAGGTTTCTTAGTACTAGGAGTTCTGTGATAAGATGTATCTAGGTCCATTTTAGTTGGGCTTCAGAATGGTTGTAGACAGAGATGGGTTGGATCGGCTTGGTGGATGATTTTCTCCAGGAACTTGATAGATAGAGTATGTCCTTATTAATTCTGATGAATCTCTCAGCACTTTTTGATACCAAAGACCAGGATGTTCTTCTGGGTCATCTGCCTGAGACTTGAGGACACTATTTGGTGGTGGCTCTAGTCCTCCCTGGAAGACAGGAGGTGGTGCTGGAGAATACATATGCTGGTGATTGACCCTTAAGTTCCATCCTGCTCCTCATTCTATGGAACGTGTGTAAAGCTGCTGGGTGAGATTGTTTGGAGTTTGGGGGCTTAGGCTGATGACACCCAACTTTACTTCTCCTTTCATCTAACTTCAAGGAGGCTGTTTTGGTTCTCAACCAGTGTCTGATATATACCGTTGCCTAGATGAGTGCAAACAAATTGAAGCTTAATCCAATCAAGGTGCCTGACAAAGGCCCTTTGGAGGGAACATATAACTCTCCCACGAAAACCATTCCACTCCCTCAACCCATTGGAGGGAACATATAACTCTCTGTGAGGAGGAGAATAGAGAGACAACTAAGAGTGAGCCTTCCCCTCAGGTAATCGAGGTAGAATCAGAAAAACCAAAGAAACCAGAGGCAAAAAGACAAGCAGAAGAGGTAGAGGGGAACATATAACTCTCCCACGAAAACCATTCCACTCCCTCCCAGTCCATTTCCCCAACCATTCAAAATGCTGGTTATAACTCAATAAACTCTATAAAACATAGGTCCACACTACTTGAAGGACTACTTCTCCCCATTTAAACTTCTCCAAAGCTTAGGCATGTCGGTGGAGGCCTTCTATCAATCCTACCATACTCACAGGCATATATGTTGAGCCCTTAAGAAAGGTGCGTTTTTGGTGGCTGTTGCCAGGCTGTGAATCTCTTTAGGAACTCTTTAGAGACTAATACCAGAGACTTTGCTATTCACTCAGACTTTTGATCACTGACTGAGCAACAGAAAGGGGAGATTGTAACAGGGGATATTTTTCTTCTTTAAAAACTCTTTGTGCTGCTGCTACTGCTTTGAATTGTTTAACTTTAATTGTACAGTATTTTAATATTATATTTTAACTGCATTTTAAATATTTGAATTCATGTATCTGTCCCCCCCCCTCGCCAAGCCATTTTGTAAACAGACACATCCTTGAATTGGGAGGAAGACAGACAGATATCATAGAATTGTAGTGCTGGGAAGGACTCCCAAGGGTCATCTGATCCAACTGTCCATCCATGTAGTGTTTAGCAGCTAAAGCATGCTAAAGGAGAGTCTGGCAATTTTTGCAGGCATCCACTCCACTGTCAAACCTCTTGCCATCAGGGAGTTCCTCCTAATGTTTAGTTGGAATCTGCTCTCTTGAAATTTGAATCCATTGCTTCAGGTCCTATCCTCTGAAGCAGCAGAAGAAAAGGATGTCCACATCTTCCATGGAACATATCTTCAGATATCTATCACATGGCCAATTTTAAATTGTGCAATGCTGTGATACAAATAAAGAAAGCAAGTTTTGGACTATGACTCCAGGTTTTAGAATTATGAGAGGGAGAAAAGTTTCTCTTCTATCCACTGTCTCCACCTTAGGCACACCTTTATTCACACAACTACCCACAATGCTTTAGCTAACAAATACCTGCATACTGAAAACTTGAAGTTTTCTTTAGTCCCCCATCACTTCTCCAGTTGAGACATCAGAATTGAAAGTGAGATTCATCACTTAACCATCTGGAATAAGCAATCACTGGAGGTGGCAGTTCCTCTGCCAGTCACACCTTTAAACTGCGCTAATATAATTCAGATGTTTTACAAACCAGCAACGACAACCGGGCATGAAATTAAAATGTTTGCAGAGTTCACTGAGTGGAAAATGATGGCTGTGGAAAGGAAAGGTAGGCATTGGGGTGGAAGGAAAAGACAGGCAAACTGAAGGGTTTCTGCTGCCAATCGTCTGCCTGGGGCTGCTATGTTCATTTTCCGGTCCCAAGGAAAGCATCTCCTAAATATTGCCGCCACATTAAAAAAAAGGGGGGGGAGAATAAGGAAGAGACTTTGCCTGGGTAGAAACATGAAAAGTGAACCAGTTTCCCCTTCATTTTTTAGTATATATCATGTTTAATCCTGTTGACCCAAAAGCACCCAGCCAAAAGGTGTCATGGTTGCCTTTACTGTATAAATCACATTGGCTTGATTGTTGAACTCTTCCCTGTTGCCCTGCAGAACCCAGATTTGGCACTCTTCAGTTACCAAGGGTTAATGTAGCTGTTGAAAGATTTAATTGTCTTTGACTATCCATCACTAGCATATGCTGTAAGTACAGTGGGGTCTTGACTTGAGAACTTAATCTATATTGGAAGGCGGTTCTCAAGTCAAAAAGTTCTCAGGTCAAATCTGCATTTCCCATAGGAATGCAGTTCCGTTACCAAGGGTTAATGTAGCTGCTGAAAGATTTAATTGTCTTTGACTTTCCATCACTAGCATATGCTGTAAGTACACAACAGAGTCCAACCACATGGGCTGATGTTTTTAATACAGTGCTAGGAGCAACTGATAGCAACTATATTCATTCCAAATATGTATGATATAGTCCAACCACATGGGCTGATGTTTTTAATACAGTGCTAGGAGCAACTGATAGCAACTATATTCATTCCAAATATGTATGATTACAAGAGGAGCCATGCTAAATCAGACTGAAATCCCACAGGCCATTGTGTCAACCTGTGAGCAGGACATGAATACAGTAGCACCATCCATGCTGGATAGGGTTGTTTTTTTTTTAGATGCACACACAGTCCCCACTTTCTAACTTTTTCAAGGTCTGCTTTAATCTGTCCTCACCATTTAGCGTCTATGAACAACCTTGGCATTCTAGTATTACAAGAGCATTTCCAGAAATGGGAAAGCATTATGCAACTATTCCAAAATTTTCTCCTTAATGGATTTAAGCTGCTGAGTGGACAAAGATGGATGGAAAAGGGATGGCTACTTATGGAGTGGTCTTAAGTGACTAGATAGGCGGGATTACTTATGGAGGACCACAGGGCTAAGGAACGTATGACCCTCCAGATCTCCTGAACTGGAAGTCACATCAGCCCTAATGAGCACGGTGGAGGACCACAGGGCTAAGGAACATATGACCCTCTGGATCTCCTGAATTGGAAGTCACATCAGCCCTAATGAGCACGGCCAGTGGGAGGCATAACTGGAGTTGCACTTAACAATATCTGGAGAGCTACACATTCCACCTCTTTGGCTTACAGCCACCTAGTGGTGTTTATAGCCAATGTATGATTTGAGTTGGGAACTTCCTGTCTTACGCCTCAGACCTATGAAATTTCTCTCTTGGAGCAGTATCAGATGATTATTCACTTACCCTGATTTATTCAATGTATTTTACTGGGGCTCCAGACACTGTGGTCCTCCACTTGTAACCATTTCTTGTCACTCTGTCTTTGTCCCATGCAGCAGCTTAAACCCATTAAGGAGGAAAAGGGTTGCACTTATGGCAAGAAACCCCTATGCAAATGGGTTAAACTGGTGTGATGGCTTGGAATGTCCAAGAATTTCCCAATGGCAGCTATATGTGGAGCATGATGGAAGGTATATGGTCCAGTTTCCATGTACAGATGAAAGCAAGTTTTCAAGTTGGAAAGGAGCAACTCCGGCAGGTAGTTGACAGCCTCTGCTGCAGGCAGCAAAAAACAAAAACAAAACAAAAACAAAAAAGTAATCTTGTGGTACCTAAAGACAAACAAAATTTGCATTTTGAAAGAACAATTTTGGCAGCATAGAAGTACTTCTTTCTATGCTTGACTGAGAATATATACCTGGATAACTAGCAATTATAGTATTTGGCATCACCATAACTACCCATATAGTAGATGAAAGACAACTGAGGATTAAAAAAACACAAAAACTCTTTGGCATAGATATCTTCATAGAACCCAACAGGCATCTACTGTATTAGAACTATGCAATATAATACAAAGGGAACCTTTTAACAGGGAAACAGTTGATCTTATATACATATTGCCTAAAAGCCACAAAGTCAACAACTCAGAATGCCCTGTTGTTTATACTAACAACACAACAATTGAGAGGCTGCCGTCTATATACTGATTTATATTTATAGGATATACTGTATTTTTAAAGCCTCTTATACTATATGAAAGACACAGATGACTTCTTACTTAGGACGGAGTATTTAAATAAACAGCATCAATTTGATAATAATATCCTAGTTGTTACACTACAGTGACGGACCTCTCATATGGTGATGAATGATACACTGATGGTCTGGATGAAAGGCAAGGAATACCTAGAAAAACCAGTTTCCAAGAGGATGCTCAAGACAATGTGGTTTAAAGAAGCTTTAAGGGCATCATTTCTTGAGCCATGCGATATGTACATTGCCAGTCCCACCACTTTCAGTTTTTTAGGTCAGGTTTTACTAGGTTAATATTTGTTTATTTCTTTTTCTCTTGTTCTATTATTTACTGTTCATTTTGTTCTTAGACTTATGTTTATTGGCTGGACGTTTCTCTTTGATTGTAAACCACCCAGAGTACTGCTTGTCACTAAACTGGGCAGTTTACAAGTACAGTCTACGTGGGGCTACCTTTGAGGTTGATTGTACATTGCCAGTCCCACCACATTTAGTTTTTTTAGGTCAGGTTTTACTAGATTAATATTTGTTTATTTCTTTTTCTATTGTTCTATTATTTACTGTTCATTTTGTTGTTAGACTTATGTTTATTGGCTGGACTTTTCTCTTTGATTGTAAACCACCCAGAATACTGCTTGTCACTAAACTGGGCAGTCTACAAGTACAGTCTACATGGGGCTACCTTTGAGGTTGATGCGGAAACTCGAAGTGGTGCAGAATGCAGCGACCCGACTCCTAAGTGGAACAAGAAAATACCTTCATATTTCTCTTATTCTGGCCTCATTGCACTGGCTGCCCATTCAGTTCCGCATGACTTCAAAGTCTTAATGCTTACGTATAAAGCCCTAAATGGTTTAGGGCCTCGATACTTGGCAGAACACCTACTCCCACCAAGATCTACCCGTATCACCCGAGCAAGTCAGGAGATGAGGCTGAGGAGCTTGACGCCGAGGGAGGCCCGGAAGAAAAAAACAAGAAACCAGGCCTTCTCAGTGGTAGCTCCTCACCTCTGGAAGAACCTTCCTCCAGAGATTCGTGTGGCTGCTTCGCTGGGTATCTTTAAAAACCAATTAAAAACATGGATGTTTACGCAGGCCTTCCCTCCAGTTAATATTTTATTTTCTCTTCTTTGTTTTTTTTTTTTT